AACTGAAGATATGGTTTCGTGATTCTAGCAGTTGGTTGAGACTTGTCTGCACATGGTGACCAGCAAGCAACTTCACTGTGTAGCCTGCTTTTCTGCATAGAATGAAGCCAAGACCTCGCCTCTCCTGGCCACAAGAAGATCATTACACTCAGGTGTACATAAAGCCTGTAAACTGGTTACTCACTGGCCTAACTCGGTTTCTTCATTTTGACACCCGAATTATGGCCAGGCCCACTGTGACTCACGCAAAGCCTGCCAGAGACAGGGAAATACTCACCGTTATGTCAACAGGCTTTCAAAACATATGCAAAACTTAAAGGTTTTCTAGATGAAAGATGCTTTGTAAGTGGCTGCATAATTCTTGAATTGTACCATTAACCCTAAATGGGACAGACAAAGAATAAGTATTCAAGCAGTAGGACCTGGCCTGAAGAAAACTGTCTGTAAAGGGAGCAGTGCAGCTGCGTGCCTCTGATACACCAGATCAGCAATAAGAGAGGAGAAACCACCTCCTCCTGGACAGAAGCCTCTCCTCAGGTCAGGAGAATGGCTGAGGACAGAAGAGGAGAAACATGAGCTGGAGACCAGGTATAGTTTTCAAAGGAAGGGTTGAAGGAGAAAAACCTCGGTCTTGGCTCTTCAATTTCCCTTTTAATAACATGTACATAGGAATAAAAGGAAACACAGCACCAACTAATTCCAGGCTGGCAAAGATAAATCTGCTGTACAGAACTGTTGTTAAAAAACTGAACATTTCAAAACCAACCACAGGAAGTAACTGGTGCAACATATCCCTGAACCCCAAACTTCAGATGTATCAGTTCAAAATGTTTAAATAAATACTTTTACATCAGTTTTATGGAACAAAATACAGGTTAAATTGTTCTGCACCCTGCTTTTTCCTCAGCAAGGCTTCAGGTCATTAGGTAATTTCTTAACTTCCTCAGGTAAGAAAAAATATCTTCTGGAGGTAGATTTTCTGATTTTTCACTAACAAATATTTTTGCATTTTAATGTATCTGGAGATACTGACCTCAGTTCCCTTGCGAGAGCCTCAGACAGAATACAGAGGTTAAAGCTGCTGATCTAATCTGATGCCTCTTCACTTGTAGGGAAGTTTTTTTCAAAAGGAGAGGAAGAAACTATGATTTATTTAGGGGAAAGTCTGAAGAAAAAGCAGAAAATATGCCTATCCTATCTTTTACTAAGAATACTTTCCCTTCAGTATCATTTTGACTCTCTGCCCAGAAACTCCAGTGTAAGCCTCTTGATTGCAGAAGTCACAAGAGAATCAAGTGTTTGCAAAAGGCTGTAGAAGCAGGAGAGATGTTTCCTACTCCACTTCTGGGTCATAGTCTAACTGAATAAACTCAGCCCCTTAAAATTTTATTAAGTTTAAATAAGGATTTATACGTTTGGAAATATGGTGCTTGGAAACAAAATTTAAGAAAAAGAGAGAGAGAAAGGAATGAAGAATGTAATATAACCACAGGAAAGCAGAGGTGTTTCCCCCTGTCACTCTTCTGAATTAAAATTAAAAAAAAACCCCAACCCTGAAACTGAGAAGGATTTGTTTAGTCCTCCACTGTCATCAGTGCTGATGGCTCTGGGACAGGAAAACGGCGGGATTTGGAGGCCTGCTCATACCTCTCCATTTCAAGCACTTCACTCTGGCTAAGCTGGGCTTCTCAACCCAAGGCGGGCAGCATCTCCCTGGGGAGGTCCTGTCCCTGTCCCTGGGTGCCAAAGGAGTTATCCTCTGACCTGACACCCAAACTCCTGCTTCAGTCTAGGAAATAACTTTCCTTGCATTTTCCCTCCTGGCACTGCCCCTCTGTACATCTCCTTGGCACAGGCTCAGCCCCGGGAACTCTGCCCTCACTTCCCAAACGCTGCAGGAGTCAACAAGACTGGTGCGGAGAAATTGCAGATTTCCCAAACTCCCTTGGGAAGGCTGATGAGGCTCAAGAAACTCACCCCTAACACCTCAAGTGAACAGTATTAGTATTTCCACCTCTGGTCCCTCTTTCTGCTCCAGGATGAGGTTTGCTCTATAGGCATCTCAGATATGTTGCAGATGCTACTGAAGATGCTCCGTCTCCCAAGATTCATGCTAGAGGAATTTAGGAAGTTACTGCACCTATATATATATATTCACCACCAGCACCATTCCAGCAGCCACGTTAGACTTTTTCAGCTACTTCCCAGTTCATTACAGTGACATAAACCCTTGTATCTGAACTGAGGCAATGGGTGGACAGGTTCACTTATATTCTGCAGCTCCTGCTAATCCTCAAGGGACAAGCAGGCACTAGTCACCTTATAAACAGCCCCAAACAAATCCTCAAAGAGTGAGAGCCACAGCCTTCTGCAGGACTCCATGCTCCTGGGGGATGGAGCTGAATTCCTGGCTTATGATGTTGATATAAGCATCGGGTCTTACAATTCCCTTCCTGATCTTCTGTTCCTGTCAACGTGATATTTCATAGTCGCGTTAACGGTACCAGCTGCGTGGACTTACCAGACCTCTGAAGTGCCAGGACAGCAGTTGCATATCATGGAGAAACAGGCACACCTCCTAAAAACAACGTGACACTGTCTCCCAAGACTGGCACGGGTACCTCCCCTGAAGTTTAAGTGATGATACATCTCACTTGGGATATTTATAGTTTTTCTGCACTCGTCTGCTCTCACCTGACGAGCCCTGCAATAACCTTCACCCCATGATAAAACCCTGTGCCTACATTTTATGTCTCAAGAGAAAGATCCATGGGGGATGCTTCACGTGTAATATTCAAGCCAGGCTAATCTAATTTGGTAACTGAATGGCAAAGACCCACTATGGCAGAGAGAATCTGTCATCCTTGCAAAAAACCACATAGAACAAACTTTGGAACTGCCACAACTGGCAAAAGTTGACCTGAATGGGGAGTTTATTTTAGGTTTAATTTTCTGTTTTGTTCTCCTTGTAATTAAAAATAAATGGTATAAAGCTGGTTTATAAAAACACTACCAAACAAAAAACCTCTTTACCCAAATTAAAAACAACAACCCATGAGAGGAAAATACTCCACAACATTTAGAGTTCTGCAGGGACTAGTATACATACAGGGATTCTAATTTTCCATGCCCTGTAAGTGTTATAATCTCTATCAGCTGCCTGCACTGCGGGACCATGACTAACACCAGTGCTTGAACTCTGATTGGTTGCTGGCTTCTTTCTTCTTCCTTTAGCACTTTTTTTTAAACTCACATTTGATCCAAGAATTTGCAGGGATAAAGATGTTTTTACAGCACTCTGTTGCTCTCAAGTTGAACCCCCAGGTCTGTTCCAGGACATCGTGTCAACAGATCACAGATGTCTGCGAGTCAGTGCAGCCAGTGTGAACGGCCACAACTTGTCACAGGGACCAGGGAGTTACTGCTGGAGAGACCACATGGATAGGGAATGAGAGAGTCGTGGCATCTGAATGTCCCGAGTCACATCTTCATGATTTTACTACTAGTAGCGCTTTCTTTGCATCCATGGCAAATATACCACCACGCCTTGCAAGAGTTATATCCCTAGAATCATTATGTGTTTATCTCATGTGCTGTGCCTCGACACTGCTGGAATAGTTACAACCACTGACTTTTCTGGGATCCTCTGGAGTCATGAGCTCTCTACCTTTTCCGACTCACACACCCCATCTTTAGAGATGAATTCCTGATCGATTTGCTTTCTCCCTTTACTCTGCAGTGCCAGACTGTCCAAAATGAACAGCTTTGGTACTACACCAACTGATAGTTTGGTACTGCCACCCTCTTATCTCCTGCTTAGTCACCGTACAGCAATGCTCCACTTCCCAGGCCTGGATTAACTGGGGCAGCAAAGGGCTTTTATCCCATTTATTACCATCAAACACTTTTTCTACTATTTGAA